AGCAAAAAAATCGAGATCTCGATGCGTATGTGCCCTCTTTACGTGACTATCCCTTCTTCTCTTACCCTCTGCCCCTATTTATACCCCTTCATTTTTCAAAAAACACACATATAGAAATCGTTCCGAACGATCATCATCCTCTATTCCTAAGTAATTCGTGGCGTTTGTTTAATCGCGACGTTTACTTCCGGCGAGGCGTTTTTCGTTTCTGAACTTCTTTTTTTAAAAATTCAAAAATTATCGAAAAGAATAGAAAAAAAGAAAAAAATGTACATGTAATTATAAAAATAATTTCTAAAAAAAAAAAAAATCATGATAATTTGGATCATCGTATCTTTCTCAAAATGTCCAAGATCATTCTTTTCAATATTCATAAATCTCATTTCACAAAATAAGCCTTTTCTCTTATGTATGCTAATAAAATTCTGCTACTTCTTACGCTACATTTTATTTTCATTTTAAATACTATTTTCCTCGAACTTTATTCTCTCAACTTGAGAAAAAAAAAAAGGAAATTGATCTTTCTAATTTATTATATACTATAACACTATTTCTATTTTTCGAATTATCATATGATGTTTAGTATAGTATATTATATCACTGTATATTAAAAGTAAATCCTCGTGGAAACGAAAGGTGCCTCACAAAGAAATTGTGTGTTGACGTCACACTTCGCAGCTGCAACTATTGTCACTACTGTACTATAACTATGTGTACTACTATCGTTGCGCCGCGCGCACAAGCTTCCAACCAAGTGTCTTTTTCCTCTGGCGAGCAAACGATCAAGTGTTTTTTTATTATCTCTATCCCCTTCTCTCTTTTATATATGTATATATTTGTATCTCACCCTGGCTTCAAAAGTGATAAAAAAAAAAAAAATTGAGAAACGGAGATAATTTTTAATTTTTATAATATTCGAAATATTTCGTAGAAATTCTTTGTTTTTTTTTAAATCGTTTCACTTTTGTAGAAAGGGTGTAATATATCTATATACAATATTGTTACGATATTTCTTCTTTTAAATGTTTTTTTTTTATTTTTTCATTTTTTTTATTTATTTTTTTTTATTTTTTATTTTTATTTTTATTTTTTTTTTTTTTAACCCCTCGTGAAATCACCTGTATCGAGGAACGGTTAGAACCGCGAGGGATTCATATTGACGAGAAGGTCCCGCTCTTTTCTCTGCTTCTCTAAGTCTCTCTGTCTCTCTCTCTGTTCTCTCCTGTTCTCTCCTCTCTCGATCGCGGCCGCAGGAAATTTTATTGGAAGAAATTCCAGCCCTTTCGCTGACTTTGATTTATGGTTTTTTTTTCTTCTTTTTTTTAATGCAAACTGTGGTCCCTATTTTTGAACAATTTTTCTCTTTTTTTATTTTTGGAAATTTATTCGTTTTATTTGTCATGGAAATTTAAATAAATAATTATTTTTAACTTTATTTTCTTTTGGAATCGAAGAAAAGAATTGCTTTTTTGTACGATAAAGTTTGAACATTTTTTTTAGATAAGAATTATAATATCTTTGAATCGATAAAATTCGAAATTATAAAATAAAACTCGATTTTAAGTAAAAGAACGAATTTATTAAGATTTAAAAAGATTAAAATATTATGCATTTCAATAGAAATCAATTTTCGAAACAATTAGAATAACAATAAAATCGTAAAAATTAGGCAAAAATTAAATTCAACAAAAAGTCATTTTAAATAATTTTTTAAAAAATTCAAAAACGAAGCTTCTTTTTCCAAATTTTTGTTATCTGTTATTTTTTTTTTTTTTTTTTTTTTTT